TCTGGATCGTTCTGCACTTCACTCTTCAAGTCGCGGCAAACATTCACGCTGTTTTCTCTTTGGTCATCTCCGAGCAAGCGAGGAACAAATTTTGCAGACACCCGTCTCGTGTGCAAACCTTCAGTTAAAATTTGCTGGACCGTGCTCCATGAGATGTTCGTTTCCTCAGAAAGTTGGTCAGTGGTCTTTCGACGATCTTCATCAATTGCACGTTTGATTTTGGCAATGTTTTCGTCATTTCTTCCTGTTGAAGGACGCCTGGGGCATGGCATGTCTTCCGTTGACATGTTGCCAGATTTGAAATGGGAAAACCACTCGTAGACCTGTAATTTCCCCAAAGCATCATCATTAAAGGCTTGCCGAAGCATCCCAACAGTCTCGGCTGCAGTTTTCCATAACAGAAAGCAAAATTTCATGCATGCTCTTTGTTCCTTCTGGTCGGCCATCTCACTAATCGCCAAAGGGTTGAAACAGGAACACACACAACAGAGCACCACAGACAAACCACTTAACTCAGACTGACGCCAGCTCACTAACAGTTGCAGGAGACCCCCAGCTAACACCACCTAGAAGCACAACTCGTAACTATAAAGCATGCGCGCGCAACAGGTCGGTTCCAGTTATTTTTGGGTCCCCCTTCGTATGTGTTACGGGGGATGGCACCAGGTCTTGTTGTAGGTGGTGGGAAATACAACATGAGTATAGTCTTTGTGAGTTATTACTGAGGGCAAGGGATTCGAGGAAGGTACAGGAGGTTGTGGGAGTGACTGTGAAGCAAACTCTGAGCCACATGGAACTGCCACTCTGTTCAGATGTACCCATTCAGCTGCAGTGAAATCACTTTCCAGGAAATGTTCGCTGCACAAATATTTATTGTGCAGCATTCTAGCAGAATCAATAATGCTGGATATTCCAACTTTTCCTGCCCATACCACAGCCCTGTAAACGTAGAACAAATAGTCTCAAAACCTAGAAATAATTCTTCAGTAAACATTACAAACTTGGTGCACATTCTAAATTTTTGGGTTATGTTGAATAAAATGAACACAGACATATGTTAAACTTAACTTCTTCGTTGGATTAACCAACACATAATAAAGTAATTACACCATGAATTCAAACATACATACCATGCTGGATCCTTGAGAAAGTTGAAGAGTTTGATTCTTTGCCTGCTCGATGACAAGCACCCAGCAACACTGCAAGTTTTCGTTTTCATGTTTAGACTGCAAGAAGCAATACAAAAATTATAACACCATCACGGTATGCTTAGAACTCCTTCACATTCCACATGCAATGTTTGGGCTAAACCGAAAGTTGCAGAACATATCATAAAGCAAATGTTGTTTAGATGACAGTTCATCATAACCTCAAAAATTTTGGGCTTGAAGGAATTTATATATTTCTAATTTCATTTGTGGTAGTAAGCATAACATTCATATACACAAATGATATGTTTAACATGGAGATGTAACTTCATTCTCAAATGTCTACTTTCGTTTCGCAACCACATCAAATCAAAATTCGTACTTACAGATTTCCATATAATTAACCACCATAACCAGGAACGTGCCATAGCTCAAGCGGTTAGTCGCTGGCTTCCCACTGCGGCGGCCCAGGTCTGGTCAAGTGGGATTTGTGGTGGACAAAGTGGTGCTGGGGCAGGTTTTCTCTGAGTACCTAGGTTTCCCCTGCCAGTCTTCATTCCATCAATTGCTCCACAATCACCCTCACCTATCATCTGGGGCTATTACAATAGGCCAGAAGTGGCCGCAGTGCAAGGGACTTAGTCCCACTCCACTAGCAATAATAAAGAACTCTATAACTGCATATAATTCAAATTGGTTTGTGTAGGCTCTGATTGGTCGAGATTTGTGTGTAGTATCTGCCTCCAAACATAGAGGCAGTAGTTACTGTGTTTCCCTTTCTCCCGACCCAGTTGCCACCCAATGGACGGGACAGCCCCACCTCCGATGCACTAGCCACGCCAGTCACTGTATAGTTTTCTGCGCACTATCCTAACTATAGCTGATGCACAAGGAAGTGAACACTTAACCTTTAAATTACTCGACCCACACAACCCAGCTGAATGACTAATATACACTAGCAGCAAAATAGTCACCCAGGTAAGCTGCAGACGAACACACTTCAACTGTATGATCACCCGAGACAGCTCAAAACTCCTTTGGTAAGCGAGTGACCACAATTCAACTCTAACTCCTTCGGACGTGATCACTGACTCAATGACTGAAATACCTTAATCAGTAAGCAACAGGAACAAAGTACACCACCGAATAATTCCTCTCATCTGTCAAGCAAACACGAGACATCCTCGATCTCTCAAGAAACTCCAACCTGATTCCTGATCTGATCTGATCTGATCTCAAATCTAACCACCACTCCAATCAATCTTCACCATCCTGATCATTGCTGGGTTGGAGCTCTGTCTTTTATACCAGTCTTGGTGGGCGGAGCTTAGACTTGTAGTTGCTGTTGTGATCGCTGATTGGCTAGCACACGTGATGATTTAAATGTGGCCTGGACAGCGAGTGTGTATAAATACGAGTGCTGGCAGCAGTGTGATTGGTTAGCGCGCGTGATGGTGAAAAGTGAGCTGGACAGCGAGTGCTGTATAGATATGAGAGCTGACTGCAATGTGTATTGACTTAGGAGTGAGTGTTGTCCGTTGATCGGTGAAACAGCATGATAGTATATGGGATGTTCCCACAAAACTATGAAAATCACATTTACTATGAACACAGAAAATTGATTGCACTCTATATCTCAGCTACAATGCCTTTGGTTGCGAACATAGAAAGGGTGATATTTTCTTGTAGCTGCAATGGAAGGGGTTGGCCCAAAACAAAGAATATACTCTCCTCAATTCCCATACCTTCACTTTTCTATCCCTCTAGTCAACAGAGCCAAATAACTGAAGACTATAGCATACATGTGAACCTTATGAGCAGATTAACAAAATAACATTTTTATAAATGGGAATAGAATGACACAGTACTTCAGTACTGTACTTATAGACTTCAAAGAAGTCTGTGATTCAATTAGGAGGAGAGCACTGTACAGTATTGCAATAGAGTTTTGGGTACCCAAGAAACTAGTTAGGCTGATTAAAATGTGTTTAAACAAAATGTATAATAAAGTCTGTATATGTAAACATTTGTCTGATAATTTTCCTCTCCAAAATGGTGTAAACCAAGATGCTTAATTGACACTCCTTTTCAAATTTGCTTAAGAATATGCCATTAGAAGATCCAGGAAAACCAGGTGGGCCTGAAATTAAATGGGCCACATCAGGTGCTGGTCTATGCTGATGATGTGAAAGTACTGGGTGATAATATAGATACCATAAAGAAAAACACAAACTTTAACTGATGCTAGTAAGGATGTTGTTCTACAAGTAAATGCAGAGATAACT